GCATTAGCTGGTTCAATGCATTGGGCTTCTGAGAACTACAGGGCAAATAGTAACTATAAGGTCAAAGGACTAAAGCCGTCAGTATGGATTACACCTTAATAAAAAGAAAACAAAAATCCTCACAACTGGACCAATAAACAACATCATGATAAATGGAGAAAGCACTGAAGTTGTTAAGGATTTCATTTTACTTGGATCCACAATCAATGCCCATGGAAGCAGCAATCAAGAAATAAAATGACATATTACATTGGGCAAATTGGCTGCAAAAGATCTCTTGAAAGAGTTGAAAAGCAAAGATGTCACCTTGAAGACTGTCTTAGGCTGGGTTCTCTAGAGAAGCAAAACCAGTGAAGCATCTATCTATCTATATATATATATAATATATATATAGAGAGAGATCAAGGAAATGGTTCACATAGTTGTACAGCTAAAAAGTCCCAAATCTGTGAATCAGGCTGGAGGTTTCTCCCTAATCATTTAGCTGCAGGGGCTAGCAAACCCAAGATTAGACCACAAAGGTTGACAAATCCCAAGACTGGCAGGCAAGCTGCTAGCTCAAGTCCCAAGAACCAGAGGGCAGATGAACAGGAGCCAGCTGCAGAATCCAGAGCAAGCAAAATCCAGTGAGCCTTGCCAGAAAGTCCACCTATATTGGATGTAGGCCACACTTCCAAGGAAACTCCCTTTCCAATGATTGGCTACTCACAGCAGATCCCATCATGGAGGCGATCACATTATATCAGGTCTCATCATGGAAGTGATTACATCATTATATGACTGCCAAACTAAAACTGCCAAGCCACTGAGAATCATGGCTCAGCCAAGCTGATACACAACCTTAACCATCACAAAGACTAAGATGAACCTGACCCAAGCCATGGTATTTTCAATCCATATGCATACAAAAGCTGGACAATGAATAAGGAAGACCAGAGAAGAGTTGATGCATTTGAATTACAGTGTTGGTGAAGAATATTGCATATACCATGGACTGCCAGAAGAACGAACAAATCTGTCTTGGAAGAAGTACAGCCAGAATGCTCCTTAGAAGTGAGGATGGTGAGATTTCATCTTACGTACTTTGGGCATGTGACCAGTCCCTGAAGACAGACATCTTGGTAAAGTAAAAGGGTGGTAAAGTAGAGGGTCAGCCAAAAAGAGGAAGACCCTCAACACGATGACTTGACACAATGGCTGCAACAATGGGCTCAAACATAAAGATTGTGAAGACGGCGCAGGACTGGGCAATGTTTCTTTCTGTTATACATAGGGTCACTATGAGTTGGAACTGACTTGATAGCACCTGACAACAAAGGACAAAGGAATTGGGTGGTGTCTTAGTTATCTAGTGCTGCCATAACAGAAATACCACAAGTGTATAGCTTTATAAACAGAAGTTTATTCTCTCACAGTCTGTCGGTTCTGGGGGAAGGTCCTTGTCATCAGTCTTCCCTTTGTCTAGGAGTTTCTACTACTGATCTATCTACTGCCTTTGTCAAATATCCAAATTGCCAGCAGCAAAAATAATAGCCAAGTCCCCCAACACGGCACTATACCTTGAGTTAACCAACAAGCCTCTTGGTGGCATTGATTACATGGGACTTCTTCCACCTTAGAAGGTGAAGCAATTTGTTGTGGCCAAAATAGACACCTATTTCAAGTGTGAGTCTGCCTTTCCTGACCACTGGGCCTCAACCATCACCACTATTAGAGGGCTCACAGAGTGTTTGAACAACAGGCATGGGATCCCAAGACATTGGACCAGAAAAGAAGGTGTGGGAGTGGTCACATGACTATGGAACTCACTGGTCATATTACCTATCCTACCACCCCGAATCTGTCAGTCTGATACAGTGATGGGATGGCCTGGTGAAGGCACAGTTGGAAGACAATCTTGGAAGTGATACCTAGAGAGGATGGGGTGCCATCCTCCAGGATGCAGTGTATACTTCAAACCTACAACCTTTATGTGGTGCTGTGTCCTCAATAGATAGAGCAACTGAGTCCAGAATCAAGGAGTGGAAGCAGGAATTTCCCTGTTTACCAGTGACCCACTTGGGAGAATTGTGCTTCTTGCTCCACAACTCCAGGCTCTGTGGGTTTAGAAGTCCTGTTTCCCATATGGAAAATGTGTCCAACAAGGGAAACAGCATGAGTCTCAGCTGCCGCCTGGGAACTCCGGGCCCTTTGTGTGAAGGGGCCAGCAGGCAAGAAGAGGCCTCATCATCTTGGCTATGAAATTGATCCTCATTATTAGGAAGAGTAAGAGTAGCTGTTACACAGTGGAGACATTGAGGAATATGTCTAGCATCCAGCAGGTACACTTGGGTACCTCTTGGTACTCCCCCACCCTATTTTGATAGTAAAAGGGCAAGTGTAGCATCTTGAGGAAGACATGAATACCAGGGTTCAGAGCCCTCAGGGATGAAGCCACCAGGCAAGCCCTTGAGATCATCAGAGATGTGAACTGAAGGTAAAGGAGTGGATAGTAGAGGAAGAAAATTATGAGTATCAATCAGTTGCTGTCCTGAGATCAGCTACAGTGAGTTGTAATTCTTCCTGCTACCGATTCTCTTCAAAGTTTCCACCAGGAAGAGAAATTCACTAGAATTCTGGAGGAGCTGCTCCCAGAACTTATACAGAGTGGATCCAAGTGTCACAAGGGATGGACTGTGGTGGATGCTGTGATGCACTGCCTTGATATCCCTTCAGAAATAAAGGACTTATTCCCCCAAATGCTAGGAATGTTCTTGGTAGAAAGCACTCAGCTATCAGCCTTCTATGGAAATTACCTCAGCTGAAACAAGTCCCCTTATCCCATTTCAGGACAACTCTGAAGGATCAGCCCAGCTTCCATCTGCTGAGGCTTCTATTGAGACAGCATCACAGATCAACTTGTCCCTCTGCCCAGTCCTGCTTTCTTCCTTCCCTTCCACAAGTGTTGATTCCAAGAGCCATTTCTAATAAATTTCTTACACATTATCTCTGTCTCAGAATTTGATTCCTGGAAAATCATGTGACAATGTCATCCATGTCAGGGGAAGAGGAGCTTTTGATCTTCTATCCAGAAGAATAAGAGTGTGTGATATGCAGCAAGTGATGGTTTGATCAAAAACAACAATATACATGAAAACACTGTGAGGACTGGACAAATGACAAAGGAGGGAGTGAACTAGAAAAAATATTATTAAAGAGATAGGATATGAAGTAGTCTTGGAAAACAGAAAGGATTTCTGCCCTGAGGGTCATCATTGTCTTCCTACATAAGGAAGGACAGAGACTCAGAGCAGTAAGAGTTGAGGAGAAATGGGATTGAAATGAAATCCCTAGTAGGGAAATGGAGTAAGAGGCTATTATGCTTCATAGCAAATGCACCAGGTTCTTTCATGCCTCTGTATTTGTCCATGCTTGTCCCTATGTTCAGACATACCTTTTCCCTTCTTTTCCTTCTAGTAAAATTCTCACCCTTGAAGGCGAGACATTATATATACAAGCATGAAGTGATGATGAAGGAACACCAAAGCCTAGAGCCAGAATGCTGGATTCAAACCCCAGTTTCAGCATTTACTAGCTGGCTGTGTGATCTTGAGGCAGTTGCTTAATCCTTACTTTCCTTTTCTGTAAAATGGGAAAAACACCTAGCTCCTAAATTTGTTGTGAGGATTGGGTAAATACATGGAGTGCCTTTGGAAAATATCTTGCACATCATCTAAAAAAGTGCATTTTAATTATTATCTTTATCACTCCATCTGAGATGGTGCCCATGGAACTGGAGAAAAAGAAACCCTTGTAAGAAAGTCTCTCAAAGCAAAGAGCTGACAGGACTTGGAAGCTCAGTGAATCTTAAAGAAGCACTCTAGGAGACAAACAGCTTAGGTTTTAATTGCTGTTCTACCACTTAACTGCCCTGTGCCTCAGTTTCCCCATCTGTAAAATGGGGTAATAATAGTATTATAGTTACTTCTTAGGGTTGTTGTGAGAATTGAAGATTAGTGATTATGAAGTGCCTGGATCAGTGCCCCCCACATACTACTGTTGTTAGGTGTTGTCAAGTCGGTTCGGACCCATAGCGACTCCACGCACAACAGAATAAAACACTGCCGGGTCTTGCTGCATCCTCACAATTGTTGTTAGGCTTGAGCCCATTGTTGCAGCCACTGTGTCAATCCATCTCTTTGAAAGTCTTCCCAATAAATGTTAGCTTTTACCATTCTGGATACAAGGAGGTGGGAGACCCAAGTTCTAGTCCATTTTCCTGGGCCCTCATGGCTGTATAAGCTTTACTGCTTCTTAGTCACTTCGCCGTCTCTGTGCCTCAATTTCCTTATCAGTACAGTGAAGGTACGGGTGTTCCCACACGTGCCCAGGGTTCCTTCCATCCTGTGAATTCTGAATCAAAGGTGACTCAAAGACTCTTAGGATGATTCAAGGGTGCTGGTGCCAGTGGCAGCGAGTGGGATACCCAGGGAGGCGCCTCTGGAAGGGGGGGGCGGATAACACGGGGCCTGGGTGGGGTGGGGTGGTAACACACTCAGTAAGAGAATCCCTGCCCGCCCCTTCTCTCCTTCAGCCTCCATTCGCCAGTTAAATACAGGCTGGTCCTGGCAGTTAGCTATGCCAGGAATTTGAGTGTAGGTTTGGAGAGAGGAGGAGGCTAGCAGTCACCAATGAGTCTTCCGCCGGCCGCATTCGCTCATTCCCAAAGCAAGTCCTAGCTGGGTGGCTGGCGCGGCCTCCTGCGCTCAGGCCGCCAGGCCGTGCAGGCTATAAACGCAGGCAGTGTCCCTCCGCCCCCGCGGCCTGCGCTGTCTCCGGCAGGGCGGGGGCCAGGGTAGAGGGGAGGAAGCAGGGGCGGGATCCTGGGAGGGACACGGCGCGCCCGGCCGGTTTCGCCCCAGCAGCTTTGCTAGGGCTCCCTGCCGCAGCCGCTGCGATCTGCAGCTGGGCAGCTGAGGAAGAGGAAAGGGCGGAGCTGCTTGCGGCTCCCAGCCGAGGAAATCAGTCGACCGCGGCGAAGGGTGGACGGGTGTCCCCGGCGCCGCCTGGCGCCCAGAGGGCCAGCAGGGCCGAGGCCGGCGGAGGCCGGATGGGCCGAAGGGCGAACTAGCCCTGTCCAAGAGGCCTGACAATGCCCCGCCGCGGAGTGTCTCCTGGCCAGGGCTACCCCAGCTCCGACCGGGAGCAGGATTCAGACAGGTCCTCGGAGGCTTCCAGTCTGGGACGCCTCTGGATGGCCCTGGGCCTGGCGCTGGCGCTGGCGCTTGCCCTGCCCGACTGCCTGGTTCTCTGGGTCCCGGCCGAGGCCCATCCTTTGCCCGCCCAAAGCCATCCTGCCAGGCTCAATCGCATGCTGCCCCAGCTCCGGGACACCTTCGGGTGGTGGAACTTCACTTGCCCGGTCTGCAAAGTCCTTTTCACCGTCATCGACATCGGACTGAAGGTAAGCACCAAAGGGGCTGCGGTGGAGCGGGCCACAGGGGAGCGATGCGGTGGAGGTGAGAGCTAATGCTGGAGCGCGGGCGCCCCCATAGCAATCCCAACTGGAGACAGTGGTGTCTACAAGTCTTCACTGAGTTTGGTTTCTCTTAGGGACACTGTGGCTAAACGCCGGCACTCCACTGTGACCCTTGTAAATGAAAGAAAGTGTGCGAATTATATGCTGGGCACTCTGCTAGCCATTTCTTACCAATTAAATCAAACCAGTGAGGCTTTAGAGCACAGTTGTGATCTCCATTTTATAAATGAATACAGAGTTCTAGAGAAATGAAGTCACTTGCCCAAGGGCATACAGCTGGTGGGGTGGGTGCTAGGACTCCCATCCTGGTGTGCCTGACTCCTGATCCACTGTGGTTTACACTCCTTGGCATCTCCAGCCCTGAGCACCATGCCTGGTACTAGGTACTCAAAAAGGACTTGGATTATGAACAATCCTGAGGCGGGAACTAGGTAGGGTTGCCATGACCTTGGTGGACATATATGGGTGCTGGTTGGCCAGTGAGCTTTGCAGGGCTCCCCAGGGTAACAAGGTCAAGGGCCCTGCCTTTGTGCATGTCCCCAAACCCTGGACAGCCTGTCACTCTGCCCAGCCCAAGGCTCAGGGCCCCCTGCAGATGATACCTAAAAAAGTTGTTGGAAGAGTTACAAGTGTGTGATTTGAGGTGACTGTCCTATCAGAAGCCAGCTGGTCAATGGAAATCTGAAATGCCATCGGCCACTGGAGCCAACAAGGAAGTACTGACTAGGTACTGCCTGAGTCACAGGACAGTATCTGTGGGAGGCAGTGGGTGCAATCAAGGTCATTTCACCATGGTGCACTGAGACCAGCCAAGTTTCAACATGGTGGCCAAAGGAGCAGTGGTCAGGGGTTGACCTGGTTCCCCTACCCTGTGTGTGACCTGTTGTCACTTGCTCCCACCACAGCAAGAGTCCAGTGTGGCCCAGGTGGGCTCCATGGCCATCAAGCTGTGCAATCTGCTGAAGATAGCGCCACCTGCAGTGTGCCAGTCAGCTGTCCAGCTCTTTCAGGGTGACATGGTGGAGGTGTGGACACGCTCAGTGCTGAGCCCATCTGAGGCCTGTGGCCTGCTCCTGGGCTCCACCTGTGGGCACTGGGATGTCTTCTCATCTTGGAACATCTCTTTGCCAGCAGTACCCAAGCCGCCCCCTCGGCCTCCCAGCCCCCCAGCCCCAGGTGCCCCTGTCAGCCGTATCCTCTTCCTCACTGACCTGCACTGGGATCATGATTATCTGGAGGGTGCAGATCCTGACTGTGTGGATCCACTGTGTTGCCGCCAGGGTTCTGGCTTGCCACCCACCTCCCGGCCAGGTGCTGGATACTGGGGAGAGTACAGCAAGTGTGACCTGCCCTTGCGGACTCTGGAAAGCCTGTTGAGCGGGTTGGGCCCAGCTGGCCCTTTTGACATGGTGTACTGGACAGGAGACATCCCCGCCCATAACGTCTGGCAACAGTCTCGCCAGGACCAGCTGCGGGCCCTGACCACCATCACGGCTCTCGTGAGGAAGTTCTTGGGGCCAGTGCCTGTGTACCCTGCTGTGGGCAACCACGAGAGCACACCCGTCAACGGCTTCCCTCCTCCCTTTATAGAGGGCAACCACTCCTCCAGCTGGCTCTATGAAGCCATGGCCAAGGCGTGGGAGCCCTGGCTGCCAGCAGAAGCTCTTCAAACTCTCAGGTACTTGAGGCCCATGGAAACCCAGGAAGGGAGCAAGGAACCTGGGGCATTATCTCTGTCTGCTCTTGCATGAGTCCTCAGCACCCCTCACTGGCCCTCCCTAATCTGGCCCTACCTTCCCTTTACACCCTTATCTCCAGCTACCCTCCTTCAAAGGGCTAACAGCACTCTCTCCATGTGCCTATCTGGCTCTTTGCTCATGTTGGCCCTCTCTAAAATACCTTGCCCTCTTTAATATCACCAACTGTCCCCAACTAACCAAGGCCCAGCTCATCTTCCCTGCAAATGACCTTTGCTTCCCACTCTAGCTCACTTTGCTCTCTCCCTCAACTCTTAGAGCCCTTAGCACTCTGACCATTTTCAGTCACAAGGGCCCTATAATTATCACCACTTGGTCTTCAGCTAGAATGTAAGCTCCTTCAAGGTGGTGACGATATCACGTATGCCTCTGCTCTCCACCCAAATGCCTAGCACACTGCTGGACATGCAGGGCCAGGATTATGTATACATGCTGACCCCTCATGTTCACTTTGTTTCAGAATTGGGGGGTTCTATGCCCTGTCCCCACGCCCCGGCCTCCGCCTCATCTCTCTCAATATGAATTTTTGTTCCCGGGAGAACTTCTGGCTCTTGATCAACTCCACAGATCCTGCTGGACAGCTCCAGTGGCTGGTCCGGGAGCTTCAGGCCGCTGAGGACCGAGGAGACAAAGTGAGGGAGAGTGGTGGGGGCAAGGTGGAGTAGGTGCTGATGGGGGTGGGATGAGAAGCAGGCCCTTCACAGCAGGCGCCTGTCTGAAGGTGGAGAACCTGTGAGCAGAGAAGCTTGATTTTCCTGCGCTCCCAACAACAGTGTTTCCCCAGAATTGAGCTCAGGGTCCTCTTTGAGAGCCCTTTCGTTACTCCTCCTCCCTCTGGCCAGGAATGCCAGCCACTGTAGGAGAGATGAGTACCAACTACCCTGGCAGGGCTGCCTGGACCCCTTTCTGCCTGCTAACTACCCTTCACCTTTCCCCCAGGTACATATAATTGGCCACATTCCCCCAGGACACTGCCTGAAGAGCTGGAGCTGGAATTATTACCGAATTGTAGCCAGGTAGGAGGCAGGTGGGCTGGGATGGAGTGGTGTGGGGGGTGGGTGGCATGAAGAGCCTTAATGTTAGAAATTGCCCTGAGCATATCACCATGGCTGCTGCCCCACTGGGGTGGGGAAGCCACTTACTTGAATAGAATGGAGAAAGATCCCCTAAATCTCCTCCTTCCCCTCCCTAGAATCTTCTGAATAAAATTAGTGTCTTCTGACCAGGTATGAGAACACCCTGGCTGGTCAATTCTTTGGCCACACCCATGTGGATGAATTTGAGGTTTTCTATGACGAGGAGACCCTGAGCCGGCCGCTTGCTGTGGCCTTCCTGGCGCCCAGCGCCACCACCTACATTGGCCTTAATCCTGGTGAGTAGTGGGATGGAGAAGTGGTTATCCTGGAGTAGTGGGAAGGAAAAAAGAGGGACGGAGGCGGGGCCACAGCTAAAACCGGCAGAGGGCGGGTGGGACATGTGGCCCCTCCCTGGGGCGGTGCCTTCACTCCTTCCCTCTCCAGTCAGCCCTCCCTTCTTGCAGGTTACCGCGTCTACCAAACAGACGGCGACTACCCCGGGAGCTCTCACGTGGTCCTGGACCACGAGACCTTCATCCTGAACCTGACGCAGGCGAACACGCCTGGAGCCACTCCACACTGGCAGCGCCTCTACAGGGCTCGAGAAACCTACGGGCTGCCCAACGCGCTGCCTGCCGCCTGGCACGACCTGGTATACCGCATGCGGGGCGACACGCGATTATTCCAGACCTTCTGGTTCCTCTACCATAAGGGCCACCCGCCCTCGGAGCCCTGCGGACCGCCCTGCCGCCTCGCTACTCTGTGCGCCCAGCTGTCTGCCCGTGCTGACAGCCCTGCTCTGTGCCGCCACCTGGTGCCAGAGAGCCCTCTGGACAGCCACAACCTGTGGCCACGGCCTCTGTTCTGCTAGCGCCCCCAGGGCCCAGCGTTGGTAAAGTTCGGATCTTGGGGAGGGAGGAAAAGGCCCAGGACGCTGAGGACTCTGGTGGAAGTGGAAGTGTCCAACCTGGGACCCCAACTAAGCCAAGGGAACAGGTCTTTCTCCTTTCCTGGAGCTGGTTTAGCAGGATATGAGAGGGGTTTGGGCTGCTCTGGCTGTCCTAGCACTTAAGCTGCCCTGGGGATTCTGTCTTTTCATGGCTATAGAGCTGAGGCCTAAGCTGACACTTCCCTGGGCTGACTAGATAGGAGCTGTCGCTGGGGGCCAGGTGCTGCCCAGCCAGGAACTCTGTGCTGCTACTGTTGCCTGATCCCACCAGACTGTTACAATAAAGAAACTTGAACTCTAGCCCTCTGTGACTGTCTTCATTTCTTCTTTCCAGACAAGCAGGGCAAGGGGGCCTTGAGAGCGAGACTGTATCTGAGGGATCAGGGTGATGGTGTGGTGCAAGCACAGGAATGCATACAGCTCAGCAGGGCAGACAGACTTTATTAGTGATATCAGTACAGGGGAGGTGCCCACAGGGCAGGGGGGAGGGGACCCATGCTGGGACCAGTCCCTTCCTCCTTCTGCCCCTGCTAGACCCTATGAAGATGGGGCATGGCCTGGACCAGTCCTTCCTGCTCCACCTGAAACACATAGGGATGGAGAGCCCGGGGCTGGCCTTGCTTCCTGCTTCTCTCATCATCAATCCAGTGTTGCCAGTTCCTCGTAGGGATTAGATCTTTCCCTCCCCAGCTCCTAGGCAGGGAACCCCAGCTACTGAGGAGGGGCAGCTTTGGGGGGCCTGAGGCCTGGGAATGGCCTCTAGGGCCCCTCCCTACCCCACACCTTGAGTTCCCCGGAGCCCGACGCAAGCAGGTAGAAGGAAGACTGGGGGTTCTTCAGGGGGTATGGGCTCCCAGCCGTTTGGGCTTGAGGGAGCCCCAGAGCGACTGAACGCCCCTGCGTACAGTCCACCCTACACGCCTGGCAACGGACTCAGCCGGGGGTGCCGGGAGACAGGAGGTGGAGGCCTGTGAGCGGGCATCCAGACACTTCTGGTAGCGGAGCTGCAGAAAGGCAGGTGGCGCAGTCACTCTCCAGCTTGCCCAACATGGGATGGGCACCACCACACCACCCTACCCACTTACCATGCACGCAGCCTGCACGGCCTCTGAGAGGCTGGCAGCATTGGGCTCACACCAGAACATGTGGCAGCAGAAGGAGGCTGGGCCGGCAGCCATGATGAATGCAAATGTGTGGACATCTCTGCCCACAGCCAGGAAGGAGAGGAAACGCACTCGACACTCCCCCAGCACTGCCTCCGTCTGGAGGGAGGCAGCCCAGTTAGAATGGGGCACTCCAACCCTCTGTGTTCCCCATCTTACCTGAAGCTCCTCCCCAGCCCTTGTCTCCCCTCCACAGTAGGGCATAGTCATATCTTCTACCCCAGCTCTTTACCTGCTGATGCAAGATGGTGAGGGTAGCAGGGGCCACGCTGACATGACTTGGTGTCCACTGCTCACGGCTACTGGAAGACAGGACTGACTCCAGGGCCCCATTAATCACGTCTACCCCTAGAAGATATGGACAACAAACACGGCACCACTTGGGGTAGGGAGCGGACACACCAGCTCTACCCTAGACCTTCTAGCTTTGCCCAGTCAAGCCCAAGGCCTTTGCACCATCCCCACTTTGCCAGCCTATGGCCCTGAGGATGATACTGTCTCTGTGTCCCTTCCTTGGAGCTCTCCTTGGCTTCAGTGACTTGACACTTTCCTGATTTCTTCCACCTTGAAACCTATGCTTGGTTTTTTTCACTGACTCTGCCTCTTCCTCCTAAACTGACTGACCCCCGAAGCTCTGACTTCCCCATGTCTGCTCTCTCAGTGCTCATTCACATTCAGACACTCTATTGCTTCACCTCCCCAACAGTGACTTCCAGGTCAGCCTTCACAGGCCAGTCCTCTCCCAAGACCAAATCTTTTCTTTTAAGATATACATTTGATGAGTGTTTGCTCTGTGTCACACAGTGTTGTCATTTAAGTGCATTATACCATCCATGCCTCACAATAGATTCTCACAATTTCACAATAGATTCTTTCATAACCATTTTACAGATAAAGAAACTGAAGCTTATAGATATCAGGTAATATGCTTTAGGTCACAGCAAGGAATGGGGATCTGAACTCAGGCAGTGTGATTCCAGAGCCTGTGTTCTTAGCTCTGCCTTCCCTCTGCTTCTTCTCTATATTCCTAGTTTGCAGAATGTCATGGATTGAATTGTGTCCCCCAAAAATGTGTCAACTAGGCCATGATACCCAGAATTGTGTGATTGTCCACCATTTGTCATCTGATGTGATTTTCCTATGTATTGTAAATCCTACCTCTATGATGTTAATGAGGAAGGATTAGAGGCAGTTATGTTAATGAGGCAGGACTCAATCTGTAAGATTAGGTTGTCTTAAGTCAAACTCTTTTGACGTATAAAAAGAGAGAAGTGAGCAGAAACATGGGGACCTCATACCACCAAGAAAGTAGCACCAGGAGCGGAGCACGTCCTTCGGACCCAGGGTCCCTGTGCTGAGAAGCTCCTAGACCAGGGGAAGATTGATGACAAGGACCTTCCCTCAAAACCAACAGAGAGAGTGAGCCTTTCCCTGGAGCTGGCACCTTGAATTTGGATTTGAATTCTAGCCTCCTAGACTGTGAAAGAATACATTTCTCTTTGCTAAAGCCATCCACTTGTGGTATTTGTTAGAGCAGTACTAGATGATTAAGACACAGAACTAGAAGTACTGTCAAAATCTTAGTTCCACTCAAGAATTTCTATAACGTGCTTAAAGGCCAGAGAACCCAAGTTTTCTAACTTGTAGGTCAACCAACTTTCTCTTGTCACACAAAGTCCCCTCTGCCTCAAACTGTTGTTAAACATTTGCACTTGTATGTTCCACTTTTGCTCTATATGCAGCAGAGAACAAAAGCACAGGTGGCAGAGGCCTAGGTTCTAGTCCCTGCTCTGCTCAGGAGCTGGCTGTGTGATCTATGGTTTCTTCCACTTTGAGACAAAGGGGTTAGAGTGAACAATGCCAGCACAAAAAGCACACATCTCTCTGGGCCACTCCCAGGCCCTCTGCCCCTTTCAGTGCCTTTGAGCTAGGAGCAGATCACAGTAGACCCCTCGTGGGCAAGGGACACAGCAGAGGACAAACGTCTTCCTCGAAATTGTACCCCATCTTGGCCTTGCTCATCTTATCTCTTGCTGGATCAAGGCCAAACTCCTCTCCTGAGAATGCGAGTCCTCCAAAAGCTGGCCTCATCCGAGCTGTCAGGCCTCATATTTTATTGCTCCCTGTGCTTCAGATGATTTATGTAGTATTTATTAACATTTAATCTTGGCAAATACCCTGCGAGGCAGATGGGGAATACAAAGCAACAGAAGAGGATGCCCTTGAAAGACAGACTATAACTGAGGGGTAAGTCTCTGTCTGGGTGCCCTTTCCCTCTTGACTGCATGAGAAACTCTTCATTCTCAGCCTTCAGGACTCCATCCAAGCCCCACCTGGGAGGCTTTTCCCTGATGCAGAATGAGAGAGGCAACAACCTCTGTGACAACTTTCATTGCAACATCTTGTCACTGCTGGAAAATCTTTTGCCACAGTGGTCTGTGGCCGTCTCAAGGACAGTGTTATGGATGGAAATGTGTCCCCCCAAAATATGTGTTGGAATCCTAATCCCTATACCTGTGGATGTAATCGCATTTAGGAATAGGGGTTTCTTTATGTCAGTATAGGGTTCAACTTAAACCTAATGACTTTTGAGATATAAAAAGTGCAGATTAGACACAGAGAAGCAAGCACAGATTGGGGAAAGACAGATGCCATGTGGAGACCACCAAGGAACTGAGGGATGCTGGGGCTAAGAAGTTGAGACAAGGATTTTCCCCCAGAGCGGACACAGTGAGCCTTCCCCTAGAGCCAGTACTCTGAATTCAGACTTCTAGCCTCCTAAACTGTGAGAAAATTAATTTCTGTTCTTTAAAACCACTAACTTGTGGTATTTGTTACAGCAGCACTAGGAAACTAAGACAGAGGACAAGATGAATTCATCTGTGTTCCCTATCCAAGCACAGGGCTTATCTGCTGAAGGAATTCCATAGGCATGAGCAAATCACCCTTAAGACAGCATGGGAAGATGTACCCAAACTGGTAGAAAGAAGTAACACATAAGTCCCCAGAAGGGTAATGATGCAGGCAGGAGTGGGTGGGCCAGGTCAGATTGCACAGGGCCACAAAAGCTAGGTGGATAGGTGTGATATTTATGGCACTTAGGCCAGGGCAATGGGGAATCTCGAAGTTCATGAGTGTGGGAGGGACATCAAAATCAAACTGCTTAATCACAGAGGGGGATATGGGGCTGGAGGCTGGCCTTGAAGTCTTGGGAGGATCTGCCTGGGGGTAGGGTGGGGGGAGAGAAGCAATGCACATACTTGACTCTGGACGAAAGTAGCCTGGAAAAAGGTTGTCGGATGTGGTAAAAACTCAGGACTGCAATCTTATCCCTGACCCTCAGCTCCACACTTCCAATCCCCTTTATCTTACTGTGCACTGTTTTTTCATAGCACTTGTTGCCTTCAAGCAGTCTTTGGTTTGTGCAAATTGTTAATGCGCTCAGCTGCTAACCGAAAGGTGCCTCGGAAGAAAGGCCTGGTGATCTATTTCCAAAAAATCAACCACTGAAAACCCTATCGATCACTTTTATGAAATTAAATGAATAGGTAAATATACAGGAACTAATGTTCATTAGTGGTTACCAGGGGTGGAGAAAGGGGAGGGAAGGGAGAAGTACTCCCAAGGTAGTAGTCAATTTTTGTTCATAGAAATGGGAAGACGGCACTGAATATGGATGAAGTTTGTACAGCATGACTGATGCTAATGATGTCAATAAGCTGTATGTAGGGAAAAAGGATGAACAGGCAAATGCTAGGTCGCGTATAGTTTTGCAACAATAACAACAACCAAAAAAGGGTGGGGTGCTACAAATGCTGATACTAAGTAGATATCACCAATCACCTCATGACCAATCACCTCATGGGATTAGTTCTCTTGGTTTGAGGGTTTAGGCCATGGTCTCTTGGGACAATCCAGTCAATTGGCATAATATAGTTCTTAAAGTTTATGTTCTACCTCCCAGTATGGTGAGTATTGTCTGAGGTCTTAAAAGCTTACAAGCAGCCATCTAAGATACAACTATCTGTCTTTATTCATCCGGATCAAAAGAGAAAGAAGGAAACCCAAGAATCAGGGAAGGAACTGGACTACAGGACTGTCTACATGAACCACTGCCTCCTCCACCTAGAGACCAGAA